CAGGAGCGAACAATTTTTGGAACAGTTCGATATTTAATAATCGAGTAGTGTAGGCGTCTAACAAGCTAAGCCTAAAAGGATCCTCACACAATTATATCGAACATAGCGATATTTCAGTAGGTTCCAATAATTGTAATCGGTTAAAGGCACCAGCTAAAATTATCTTTAAAAGGTTATGAAAATGTTTTTTAAGTTATTTTTATGAAATATAAATATCGTTTTATTGTACACAGATGTCTGAAAGAAACACTTGTTCGATTCCCATCCGTTCCTTACATAATATGAACTAAATTGAAAACGATAACGGGAATTTCCGCAATGACGTAGCTCGCAATACCTTAACTGAACTAGATAGCAGGTGTCCTGATTAGTAATATAACATAAATAATACTGGAGTGAACGAGCAGATAATGCTTATAGATTTTTTTGTTTAGTTTCTCGATATATGATATCGTTACACAAGTGATTCTAAATTTTAATATTATGATCATATTAAGAATGTTAACACCTTTAAATTATTTGCTCATCGTAGTATGGTTGTTAGACCTACTGTTGCTTCTCTTCTCTGCATGAATGCGTGAGCCGAGACTTAAATCGATATTAATAAACAACCCTTAAAAACAAAGATTTTAGTATAAATCCTTTATATGCATTTTTCCCATTATGTTATTGTACGTGATTTATCATTTATGTGATTTTAGCAACTGCTGTCGGATATTTTGACATCTTTTACACAGAATGATAGGCAAGAGTCGGTAACTAAGGAATTATTTCAGAGCTAACCGGCTTTCCGAAGCTTTTGCAGGTTATTGCTGATGATGTGAGTCAGAATCCAGAGACTATATGTGAAGGAAAATGTCCCCTAAACCTGCTTTAAATTAATTAAACTTTTCTTTGCCCTTCTCCACTTAAACATTTTATCAACCTCCTCCCCCTCCCCCGTGACCCTTTCTCCTCCCCCGCCCCCAGTATAAAAACTACTCTTTTTATTTACTCCCTTTTTCATATTTTTTTTGGACCCTAGAGACCACACGGCTCCCTTTAAGAAAGCCCCTTAAAAATACCTTTGATATAAAGAAAAATGTCATCAATCCAGACTGACTCATGGACCGGCTCAACGGAGTCAGCAGATCCCACCAAGAAAACTAGAACTTCAACTTGTCATTGAACTTCTGAAATACATGCTTGATCTTTTTTTTTTTTTTTAGCATCACAGATCCATTTTTTCGATGACTTCGAGAGGAAGAAAACTGAGACAACAATGACAGCGTTAGGAATCGATAATTTGTGTATATATGATAAAGAATATGAATGGGGCATGAAACATTTTATCAAGATTCAATGACTCAAAAAGAACCACAATTGATGTGGAGTGTTTCTATGATGATACTTTATTCTTTGATTAAGTTTGTTTATTGAACGAATGACAATATGAGAACTGAGATGTGAAATTCCAAGGAGATGAAGTGTAGCAATCGCGAGGGAGGAATTTTAAGTAGAATACTTTTCCCACATACAATACATTCAATTATGGGGAAGCTCAAAATTCGTATTGTTCCCTGATGTCTTTTTTTTTCAGGATGTTAAAAATTGTATTGTCATTATTCTGATCACGTAGAAATGATATAATCTATGTAAGTATTATTCAAATAAACTTTTTTTCTGCACAGTCAGTTTTTTCTGTAGTCCAGTTATTTGGATTAGTTGTTGAAGCGTATATTCCTAAGCACTGTCTGTGACTAAGTATGTACAGTGAAAGAGAAATTTTAATTCAAGGTGTGCTTGATTTTTTGGTGCGAAGTTTAATTGTGCAGCTGTTTGCTATGCACTTTGTATTTGTGACGTATTTGCGGGTATGCAGCAAAAATGAAATGTATACATTTTTTTAGGGGAAAAATGAAGGAAAAATGAAACGTGTTTTCACCAGAAGTTGACCCATTTACATAACCGCTTCTTAATACATGATCAATCACGTACATTTAAATAAATGCAAACAAAAAATATGAAAAAGGAGTAAATAAAAAGAGCAGTTTGTATCCTGGGGACGGGGGAGGAGAAAGGGTCACGGGGGAGGAGGTTGATAAAATGTTTAAGTGGAGAAGGGCAAAGAAAAGTTTAATTAATTTAAAGCAGGTTTAGGGGACATTTTCCTTCACATATTGTCTCTGGATTTTGACTCATGCACATCATCAGCAATGACCTGCAAAAGCTTCTGAAAGCCGGTTAGCTCTGAAATAATGCCTTAGTCAGCGACTCTTGTCCATCACTCTGTGTAAAAGATGTCAAAATATCCGACAGCAACCGCTAATGAAATGGTTTTATTTCATGTCACTCGACAAACGAAACAAAACAAAAAATCCAGCTCAAACATTTACAGCACACACTCCTCCCAGTGTGAGAGAGAGAGAGAGAGAGAGAGTGAGCTTACTTTAAACATGGTGTAGTGTGTCAGCTGATTTGTCTTGGATATATGCGAGCTTGAAGGAAGACTGGTGTATCTGAAACCATATTTCATGCATTGTCATAAGACTCTCATCTCAGAATTTATTTTCAGGTTAAGCCAACGACAAAGTTAAAAAATACTTTTAAAAATAATTTCAGTTGTTTTCTTTTCTACTATTCTTCTAGCTTCGTCCCATGTGAGAAACTGAATACAATAAGGAACCCATGCTAGGAACTGAATGAACAAGGATCCCAAGAGATGAACTGAATGATCAAATTATCAAATGAGAGAATAATCCAATGATCCCATGGAAGAGACTGAGTGACCCAATTATCAAATGACAGAAACTGAGTAATCCAATGATCCCAGGTGAGGATCCCATGCGAGTGCAAAAAGTCCTTATAGAAATTCCCATTTTGAGCTCTTGATTAAAACACAACTCACTCATTCAAACATTAGTGAAATAAGGAGTGTTAAAGCAATTCTGAATATTCATTTTTGAATAATTTTCTGTCAACCGATAAAAAGAGTTCCAAGAAATGCCGCCAGTCCAAAGAAGAGCAATGCGCATCATCAAAGACTTTAAACGCCCTTCAGTTTTCAGCATATACTTCACAGCTTACCTGAAAATTATAACGCTGCTCTTATTTCCACTGTGGGCAAAATTGTGTCTGAATGATCGGGTGAGCTATGACCTGAATGTTGGGGACAACACGCGCAAACTGATCCAAGACTACGTTGGATGGGAAAAACAGCCCAAAATAACTAGTACGTGGATGGAGCAGGACAGTTACATTAATGGCTCTACCTACCAACAGTCTCATTTCAACAATCTGTACATCATATCGATGTGTTACACGCTGTATGACTGGGAAGAAACCTATGCACAAACGTGTGCAATAATTTGTCTAATATTCCGGTTTTCCTATCACATAGTAGAAGTGTTGATGTTCAAATACGGATGGAAGAGGCTTGTTTTATTTGTCTTCGTTAGCGTTCTACTAAATGTACACCTCATTCTTGGTGGGTGGAGTTTTCTTCAACTCATGCATGCACTCTTTGAAAATGTCATAACGTGGATTGATAGTAAGTTGCACGACGCTACTTATTCCCTGGGACTTAGGTTACCCTTATCGCAACGCACAATCCATCCATTCACATCTGGTGATTACCCTCCTTATTACTTGTACACGTTTAACAGATACCTGAAAGAGGACGTCAAGTTTACTTGCGAATATCTTGTTGTTAGCCTTAAAAATGCTTTGCCCATTTACAGGCGGGCCAACTGGAGAAAAAATGGCTCACCGGTGACGACCAGCGACAGGATTTATGTCAATATGAGCATCAATGAACTCAACGAAACGCATGGCCAAATATTTGCACGGTACAGTGTGACATCAACGTTAACAATCGAGATGATGGAAGAGGAGGACTTTGGTAGTTACACGTGTCAGTATTATAATCCTATGCAAATTTTTGCTCGACCGGGGCCCAGTATGGACGAAGGATATGAGCAAGAAATTCCCGGGAAACCGACTTTTCCTGACCCTGCCTGTAAATGTCACCCACAAGGTAGCCAAGAACAATTTAGAAATGACGGGGGAGATGGAGAGATCAAACAATTTGAAGGCTCCAGTCAGCACAAATCAGTAGAGCCTTGGGAAACTAACCTGTTTCAGTGCTTTGCTGAATTCAGTGTTAAAAAGATAGCCTCTCAGACTATAACTGTCGATCTCAACCCTGGCAGTGTTTTAGTGGACGGGGCCGTGTACACAAGTATATCAGATGTGTCGGATCTTGAATACGATGTCACGTTTTCAAATGAAGACTCAAATCGAGATAACTGCTGCTCCAAGTTGGTTATGTTGTATTGGGGATTATTTCGTAGAGGAACGTTTACCACGCCTCCATTCACTCGCATCAGAACATCGGGTAACTCTAAATACTTTTACAGATACCAATGTCTATGCCCACATTCATATGGCATTAGACAATTCTCATTCAGCAGGAAGTATTTCAACCACACAACAAGAACTTACGATATGACAGACATTGTTTACCCCGTGACATTGCGAATTCTTCCTAATGTCACACATCCCTGGTCTTCAAACAACAGCACAGAAAACATTCACAATGACACAACGTGCTGGGATGAGCTGCCTACAGACTCGCACATCACTCAAATCTGTTCTCATTTTTATTCAGTTCTAGAGATGACCTTGGATGTAATAGTTTTTTATGATACTTTAATTATAAACATTGCATATTTTGTAGTTGCAGCTTGGGTATGTTTTGTGCCCTTAATATTACACCTGCGCTGTGTCCGACCAATCCTGACCGCGTGCCTCACTTTTGGCAGACGAGAGACATCACTAGTGGCGTTGACAGGCCAACACTTAACATACAATCTTCCCCGTGTTGACCAGACCACAGAATTACACACTGACGACGTCCACTATCAGATTTTCCTGTCATACGATGAAAATAACGAATTTGACTTAATGACAGCCCAGGTCCTTAAAGGTTTGTTGCTGACCTTGAAATTGTCTGTCTTTGACTTTAACTCGGACGTCCCGTTAGGAGAGCCCATGCTTCAAGCCACCGGGAAAGCCATCGATAAAAGTTATCGCTTTGTGGTCATCGCTTCCAAAAGTTATATGGAAAATGATCTGAAAGTAATGGAATTCGACTACATTCAACAAGCCATATATGGCCAGGAAAGCAAACTGAAAGACAGATTAATTATTATACAAATACAACCTTGTGACATAATAGGAGTTTATAGAGTCCCATGTATCGAGATACCAGAGCTAGCTCAACAAATCGATACCATGGATCAGACGATGCTTCAACGATTTCTTACCTGGGAGTTTTGCACCAGACCACCAAATATTGCTAGATCACCACGTGATCACTATAGGAATTTAAAGGAGACTGTGACTGTGACTGCCCAACTAATTGTCCCAATATTCATTGTGCTCTCTGTACTCTTGGTCATTGTATTAAGTTTAAGAATTTGACTTTGATTTTTTTTTTTAAACTTGTTTATGGGTAAATCTTAGTGCCAGTTTGTATAACAAATGTGATTTTTTAAAATCATCATGTTAATTTATATTTCTTTTTTCAGTTATTTTAATATGTTGTTATTTATATGTTTGATCATGATTTGTCAGTTAATCGTTATATTATAGATACTTGTGTTCCAATAGATATTTCTTCATGTCATTTATTTTATAATTTTGAATAAGTATTTTCCTAATAATTCAAAAATATCATTTTCAGAAGGGTATTATTGTTTACTAGACTATATGACCCGTTGTTAACGAGATAATAATGGTAGGTCCTTTGCGATAGATTCTACCTGCTATTGCAAAAACTCTTCACAAATCCTAACTTTAAAGAAGTATCTATGTAATGATATTAAGTTTCTAGCATCATTAAGTTTTAAGAAGTATTTGTCTGCTATATATTATACGCCTACCCTACCCCCTTTCATGACCCTAAACTACATTTTTTCCCCTCTAAATATGACCTTAAATTAGAAAAATTTAAATTATCACTAATTATATCATTATTATCCTAAAGAAATTAATTGATGGACGATTTCTATGCTAGAGAAATACTTTAGATGTCTTGTGTTTTTAAATTATTAAATTTTGGGCCTACCCTACGCCTTTTCGTGCCCTTGAACAAAATTTTGTTTTTCTCTAAAAATTGTGAAAAATAATCTTAATTTACAAAAAAAACCTCTATAAATGATACAAATATATTTTATATTAACGGAGTTTTATACATTGATAGGTTCATACAAAATTTAAACACACTTTTACTTTGTTTTTTAAATTATAGGCCTACATTGTCGTAAAATCGTAAAACAAAGAATTATTTTATCTAAAGAAGAATCTCGCAACTGCTTTTCACGTCTATAACAAACTTGATTGTCTTTTTTAAAGTTACTAATCTCATAAAAATACACACCCAATTTACTTTTCGCAATGTAAAAACAAAAATATGTTTTCGTTTTTTGAAGGAAAATATTAACCCATCTCCATGTTTCAAAATTAAATTTTTAAGTGTGTAAAATGATTGGGTTTTGATATTCATGGGTATACTTCTATAAATGTACCCATGTTTAGTTAACGCCATTTATTTTCTTAATTGGTAAACAAATGTTTATTTGTAAAAAGAGAACATAACATCTATTTTTTCACAAATCTTATACCATAGGATTAAAATATATTGTCATCCACGTAAAAATGCACACATCCTTTTTCCTATCATCGATATTCATGTAACTAAGAAAGTTAATTTTATAGCAAATTCATTCCTTTATTCTGAGACTTATCTTGTTCTATCTGGGGCTAAATGAAAGTATCGACCAACCCCCAACCCCCAGATATTAATAAAATCTTCCACCGGATTGTAATCCCACTACCGAAATCACACATTTTTTTCACTTCATATGTTTTTTTTTTCTTATTTGGATGAGTGAATTACATTAGTGAATGCTGTTTGCTATGGATTTTCGCTACACTGATTGGCTTAAATGGCGATTTCGTATTAAATTTATGTTTAAAGGTTCTTAGATCATGATTTTAATTTTTGTTTTCTTAACTTTCAAACTCATATAAAGTGCTTAAAATAGTTCATTCATTGTTACTTTCAATGTATTTGTAGTTTATAATAATAATACCTAAACTTTTAATGAAATAAAAGCAGATATGTAATATTTTTTGCACGTTTAAATTTATTCGATTTCCGTAAAATAATAGAAAATAACTAGGATGGTTTTTATGAATCTGAACGTATTGAAATCTTTTCGTTTCTTTGGCGTTACGGTCATTATAACTCATTCTTTTATTCTAGAATAAATGACCCGATGTTATCGGGATAATAATGGTAGATCCTTTGCGATAATTTCTAACTGCTATTGCAAAAACACACCACAATTCATAACTTTACAAATTTAATATTATTTATGTTACTAACATCATTTAGTTTTGAGAAGTATTTCTCTGCTATATATTATAGGCCTACCCTACTCCACATCACGCTCCTAAACTACTTTTTTCCCCCTCTAAACATGATCTTAAATTAATCAGTCTAAACTATCCCGAATTATATCACATTTGTCACTAAAGAAGTTAAATGAGGGACAATTACTACGTTAGAGAAATACTTTAGATTTACCTCTTTTCGTTCCCTTGAATTACAACTTTTTTCTCTAAAAACTGTTTATAAAAAATCTTACCTTAAATTTAAAATTCTATATATTTTATATTATAGGAATTCGATATATATTGATATCTTCAGCAAAAATTAAACACATTTTTGCCTTAAAAAATTAATTATATATTATCAAAAAATCGTAAAACAAAGAATTCTTTTATCTAAAGAAGAATCTCCCAACTGCTTTTCACGTCTATAACAGATTTGAGTGTTGTTTTTTTAAAAATTTAAATGGTTAATCTCATAAAATACACATCTTTTTACTTTTTGCAAAGTAAAGACAAAAATATATTTTATTTTTTTTAAAGTAAATATTAACCCATCTCTATTTTTCAAAATTATTTGTTCAAGTGTGTAAGATGATTGGGTTTTGATATTCATGGGTATACTTATATAAATTTACCAAAGATTTGTTAAAGCCATTGATTTTCTTAATTGCTAAACATATGTATGTTTGTAAAAAGAGAATGTAACATCTCTTTTTTCACATATGTAATACCATAGGAGTTACCTATGTTGACATCCACGTAAAAATGTACACATCTTATTTCCTACCTCCGACATGTATTTACCCAAGAAAATTAATTATTTATCAAAATAACTCCTTTATTGTGAGACGTATCTTGTGCTGCCTTGGGCAAAATGAACATACCTACATTTGTAAAAAGAGGAGGTAACATCTCTTTTTCACAAATGTAATACAATAGGAGTTAACTATATTGTCATCCACGTAAAAATATACACGTTTTATTTCCTACCTCCGACATGTATTTACCCAGAAAATTAATTATTTATCAAAATCATTCCTTTATTTAGAGACGTATCGTGTGCTTCCCTGAGCAAAATTAACTTACACATTTTTGTAAAAAGAGAATGTAACATCTCTTTTTTCACAAATTGGTACCATATGATTTAAATATATTGTCATACACGTGAAAATGTACACATCCTATTTCCTACCTCCGAAATGTATGTACCCAAGAAGGGTTATTATTTATGAAATTCATTCCATTATTTTTGACGTATCTTGTGCTGCCTGTGGCAAAGTAACCAACCCCTTCTAAATAAATTTAGAAAAATCTTCCACCGGATTGTAGTCCCTTCCATACCCAAACTAAAATAATTTGCACTTCATATGGTTCGTTCTTTTTTTATTTTTTTTTAAAGTTAATTAGTCAATGCTATTTGGCTATGGAGTTGCGCTGCACTGTTTAACCCTAACCGCATTTCCTTATTATAATTATATTTTAAGGTTAATTTTTATAACGTTATAATTTTAATAAAGGTATTTTTTGGAATAAAAAAAAGGCAAAACCTTTTAAATGTTAAAACATACACAGCTAAAATATGTGTGTTTTATTAACAATTTAAAAAGCAATCCATTGTATATATTAATTTTACTTTTAAGAAGGGAAAATACATTATCAGTTTTGTCACGCACGGTTATTAAATTTAAAGAAACCTAAGAGTTTTGGAGAAATAGGCTATTCGCGCTATGACGTCATTTGCGTGATTATTTAGAAAAAATTAATGTACAATTTTATTTCGCAATATTAACAAAGCACTAAAAGACGCACTTAAAACGACTGATGTTGGGTTTTCCCCATAAAATGGGATTACGGTTTAATTCTTTAATCACGATTTTTTTCATAACTTTTAAACACTTATAAAAGCTTAAAATAGTTCCATAGTTGATACTCTAAATGTATTTGTAATTTATAATAATAATACTTAAACGTTTACTAAAATAAAGGCGGATTTAAAATATTTTTTGCGCATTTAAATTTATTGCATTTCCGTAAAATAATAGAAAATAACTATGATTGTTTTTAGGAATCCGAATGCACTTAAATCATATCTCCCTTTAGGCCTTATGTCACCCTAGCTCATTCTTATATATATATATATATATATATATATATATATATATATATATATATATATATATTTTATGAATAAAATATATAAAACAAAAATATTTTTTTTTTTTTATATATATATATATATATATATATATATATATATATATATATATATATATATAATTTATGAGTAAACTATGCAAAACCCAAAGCTTTTTCTTTTTGTCTAAATTATCATATTAATCACAGATTATAAAACTATGAATTATTTTTAAAACACTCATTCAAAACAATATGTACAAATTATCTTGGCAATAAATACATTCTGTAGTGATATGACAATGACTGCAGATGCTAATTTTACAAATGGAGATTAACTGAAGATCTACCAACTTCTACTACACTTATATGTTAGTTTTTTAAAAAACATATTCCAGACTTTTTGTAATCATACATAACAGTATTAGTTTTTTAAATTTTAATTGATCTCAACATTATTTTTTAAAAATGTAAATATTTTCAATCTCTCGGAGCTCAGGTCATTAAAATCAAGAGATGAACACTTTATTCTGACGGCACATCGTGGTTGAAATAATAGCCTCGTGTTTCGTGTGTCCAAAAAAGAATAGAATCATTCCTAACTTGTTCGATGGCGACGAAATAAGACAATGCAATGTGAACAATTGTTTTAAAAGTGTTTATTATGTCTTTCAAAAATTTCAGGTATTAAAACAGTGAGGCGAAATTTGCCTTAAATATAATATTCCTCAAATGTCCTCAAGGTTCTATGTATTTATTGGATATTGAGTTCAAAACATCTTAAACAATTTAAGTTTTCAAAAGTGTGCATATTTTATTTTCAAAGAGTACCTAAATATATTTTGGGTTTTAATGTTCTGAATACGCCATAAAACTATGTCATCTATGTAAACCTATAATCTATGTCATATTTTGAAATATTTTATTTTATT